AGGACATGTACAAGTCATTCCATCTGTAATTTTATATCCTATGCTAATCTTTCCTCCAGGATGCAGCATCTAGTCAAGAACATTGACAAGGAAACCATTCCTACATCCTACTTTGAGGCATCTAAGACTACTGAATGGTGTTCTGCTATCCAGGATGAATTGCATGCACTCAAAAAAAAATGGCACTTGGGAGATAGTTACCTTACCACAAGGAAAATCAGTGGTTGGCTGTAAGTGGATTTTTACCATCAAATATAATGAAGATGGGAGTATTAATCGCCATAAAGCAAGACTTGTGGCCAAAGGATTCACTCAGACACAGGGCATTGATTACCAGGAAACCTTTGCTCCAGTAGCAAAATTTAATTCAATTAAAATTCTTTTGTCCATTGCTGCTTGCCTAGATTGGCCCCTTTGGCAAATGGATGTGAAGAATGCATTCTTAAATGGTGACTTAGAAGAAGAGGTTTACATGGAAATTCCCCAAGGAGTGGAAGATGGTCAAGGATCTCGAAAGGTATGTAGATTATTAAAATCCCTTTATGGTTTGAAGCAATCTCCAAGGGCTTGGTTTGATAAGTTTACTGCAGTTGTCAAAAATCAAGGGTACTCCCAATGTCAAACTGATCATACTATGTTTGTTAAAACTGCACCTCATCAGAAAATTACAATATTAATTGTCTATGTTGATGATATTGTGATTACTGGTAATTGGGAGGATGAGATAAAGCAATTAAAGGAGACGTTAGCTCACAAATTTGAGGTCAAGGACCTTGGAAAATTACGATATTTTCTTGGAATGGAAGTGGCAAGAACTAAGGAAGGAATTTCAGTTTCTCAAAGAAAATATACTCTTGATCTGCTGAATGAAACAGGGATGTTGGGATGTAAACCTTCTGATACACCAATGGAGGCGAACTACAAGATAGGACTCAAACAAGAATGTGCTTCGGTAGACACTGAGAGATATCAAAGACTAGTTGGAAAACTCATTTATTTAGCCCACACTAGGCCTGATATTAGTTTCCCTGTGAGTGTGGTCAGTCAATTTATGAACAGCCCAAATGAAGAGCACTTGGAAGCCGTCTACAGAATCCTACGATACTTAAAGATGACTCCTGGTAAAGGATTGTTCTTCAAGAAAAATTCCAGCCGTGATATTGTGATTTACACGGACGCTGATTGGGCAGGATCCATTATCGATCGAAGATCAACCACAGGCTATTGCTCATATGTGTGGGGAAATTTGGTCACTTGGAGGAGTAAAAAACAGTCTGTGGTAGCCAGAAGCAGTGCTGAAGCCGAATACAGGGCATTGTCCTTAGGCACTTGTGAGGGAATGTGGATTTTAAGAGTCCTAAAGGAGCTACACCTCGAATACAAGGATCCTATGAAGATTTTCTGTGATAACATGGCCACCATTGGAATTGTCAATAATCCAATCCATCATGACCGTACCAAGCATGTTGAACTTGATAGAAATTTCATCAAGGAAAAAATTGATGCAAATATTATTGATCTAAGTCACATTTCCACAGGGTCCCAGATTGCTGATATCTTAACCAAGTCTTTATCAAGAATTAAATTTGAAGGACTAATTTCCAAGCTGGGAATGCTGGACATCTACCACCCAGCTTGAGGGGGAGTGTTGCAATCCCTAGTTTTCAGCATCTAGAATGTTTTATCTTTCCTCCTTAATCTTAGGAGTTTGTTTCGTTATTTGTTATTTAAATTCCTAGGATTAGTTTGTTTCTGATATTTTTCCTGTTTAGTTAAAATAGGATTCAGTTTTCTAGTTTTATCTCTTTCCCTGATTATAGGGATTTGTTGCACTGGAATATTTCTGGTGTCTATTTATTGTACGTTTTTTTTCTTTTAGTTTTAATGGAAAAACTGGTTCCATCATTCAAACTTTCTATATATATATATATATATTATTCAATGACCAGGTAAAGTACAAATTTGCTTGTAATGCTCTGCATTATTTGAGGACTTTGATAGATGCCTGTTTGAATGTAACAAACTATGGAGTGGGGTAATGGTGTTTAACGTTAGACGTAAGCAGAGTTCGGAATGGTAGGACGAAGTTTGGGGACAACCTTCAAATCTGGTGGGGAGAGTGTAACATCCCGCATAATTAGGGACTCACATAAATTATGCTTAAGAGGGTGAAGCATGCTTAAAATTCGAATTAAATTCATGTATAGAGTGGAATTAATTTAAGTAGGAAAATTATTTTGTGTTGATGATATAAGCGAGTGTATGTGTGGATTTTAAAAGATTCAAGATACTAATTTAAAAGGGATAATATTGCATTTAATTACATTATAGGTAGGGACCCTAATCACTAACTAATGGGAATATGAAACGATAATTGCTAGGAGAACTTTTAAAGTAAAATTAGGAAGGTGGATGTATGTCATGAAATTAAACTACATGTAAGTATGAGATAGGGTAAATTTTATGAACAACATACAAGGAATTTTAGGGAATACCTAGTGGTCACAAGAAATAGTAGTTATTAGTGGGTTACATGAGAGAAGTAAATTAATAGAAAGTTAATGTGGAACCCGTCTAGCCCTATGGGTTACGGCCCATCTACTTTGGGTGGAAACATTCATCAGCCCAAAATCTCTTATCCTAAAGCATTTATCTAATCCATTAAAGATCAAAGTGAAATCTACATGGATGAGTTCCATTGGCCAGGTAGGGACACACGTCCAAATCGGTATCCACCCTTATCTTTCCCTTGTCATGCGCATTAGGGAAGACAATCAAGCTGATTACTTTCCAAACCAAGAACCACACTCAGCCTTTTCTCTCTCAACCGTAAGTAACACAAGATTGGCACCTAAACGTAACTTGTACCCACTTCCTCTCATCCGCCCATTTCCCCCACAAAGAAATCGTGATTTCCCAAAAGTTGAATGACCATACAAACCTCCAGCCTCCCTTTTCACTGGCTGGCCGAATGCAGCCATCAAGGAAAACTGCACATGAGCTATTACTCCACCTCACTCTCTTGCTCGGCCGAAGGTTGATCTTAAGGAGGTGAAGAAAATTTTGTTGCCTCCTTGCTCTTTATCACTGAACCGGTTCTGATTGAGTGGTCAGTCGACGACATGCACATATCTTCCTTAATTGAGCTCCTACCCTTTTGCATACCGCTTCAACAAGATTGGGGACATGCAAGCCCAAAACCTCTAAGGACACCGTCTCTCCTTCCTTTCTTTAGTTGGCTGAATCGTTAGCATCAACGGAATGAGATGCGTTCCCTGACTTCGTGCTTCTTCTCGGTCCTTCACGGTGTTGATGGAGCCTCCCCATCTTGGGTGTTTTCTGAGTTCGGTGATGAGAGTTGGAGTGAGTTGTTCTTCATTTGGTTTTTCTGTTTGATTCCGTGGATAATTAGGATGTGAGGGAGCTCCCTCCTCTTGTATGGTACTCGTTGGCAGGTTTTAGAACAGATTGGGCACACATCAGAGGTATAAATCGAAAACCTTGCTGTTTTACCTTCCCCCTCTAATTCGGTCTTTAAGTTCAGCCCTGTAGAAAATGTCTCTTTGTCATTCTGTCCTTTGTCTTCTGTTTCGTAGAAATGTATATGCACTTGGTGCTTGCAAACACACAAAACCGATTTATGAGGTTGGAAATAACTCTCTGAAATTTTGGTTGAGTAGCTTCTTGAATATGAAAATGTTAATAGGACTTGAATGTGTGTAGAAGTATGTAAATAACATGCTGAAAGGTAATTGGATCATGCCTAAGTAACATAGGCACTGTTTTGTTAAATAAAATAAAATAAATAAAATGGAACTTTTAGATGATAGTCTTAAAAATAGATGCTGTATGCGCAAGTAACATTGGAATTAAGTCACATGCTATGTAATTGTAAAATAAATTCTGTCAGAAAATTGTTGTAGTAGATGAACATGGAAACCGATTTGGATTTAGAACTTGTATGCATTTAAAGCTTGTATAGACAACATGTGTAATTTAATTAAAAAGGGACTAAATGATCTAATTAGAGTTTTGTTAAAATAAAGTGTAAGCACCTTGGGATGAAGGCGACCGAATCTGTATGTGTATGAGACTTGGAAATTGTGTCATTGGTTAACAATTAGGAAAGCTGAATCTAAGGCTGAAATTAATTAACGCTTGAAGCATGATAGATTAATTTAAATCATTGAAAGAGAAAGCATGGAAAATTAGTTTAAAGGTCAGAAAATGAACTTGACCCTAGGAGCATAAATTCTGAATGGAAGCTTGTGACTTGTAAACAAATTAAGTAAAAAAGCTCTGTTTGGCACTTTTGATTAGGTCCATAAAACTCAAGGATGTTGGACGAACTTAGGGGCTGTTTTGATTAGAAAGCTAAAGTATCAGGTATGTGTTTGGTGGTGAGACCTACTGTGACCATTAGCTAGAGTATGGAATTTTGAACTGATGCTCACATGTGCCTTTTGATTAGTATTCTGTTATATGGTATATGTATTCTGCCTTTGGACTTGTTTTGATGGAAAATTCTGTTTATGGAAGTATTTTATATTCGGCAGCTTGGTATTACATATACAAGAGAAATATGCTATTATGATTATGATCTAGTCATGCATATGCACATCATACTTTCACATGTGTCTGTTTGTGTGTGTGTCGAGCATGTCATTGCATACTGCATTATGCATTCATCTTGGAGACTGAAGTATATAATAAATATAAGCATACGTTTGAGCACGCATCATATAGGCATCCCTACGGTACCAGGGTATGGGACACTTGGCTTCAATCCGCATAGGTCGCAGTTGGAACCCTTTTGAGGAGCCACTATGGGATCTCCACTGTGCTTGTTAGTACGTGCACGGCGGTGCTATAAACGTACCCTTTGGCGTTATATACGCATCTTGATTAGTATCTCGGCGTTATATACACACTTTGATTATATGTTAGCATCTGTCTGGAAAATTAAATGTTGATGCGACTGTTTTGGAATTTTGTACCAGGTCTAATATTGTTGCTGTATTGGTTTTATTGCCACACTACTGGGATTTTTCTCACCCCTTCGGGGGCTCAATTTTCATAAATTGCAGGAGGACTTAGAAGCATGTGAAGAAGTATTTGATGACGTGATTTCATGGAAATGATTTGATTGAGTTTTAATGTTTGGGATATCCTACTGTTTAATTGATGTTTCTGTTGGAAGTATAATGTATATTCAGCTTTGGTGTAGCCTTCTAAGGATGGTATTTTATTATGTGTATTCTGTCTTGAAATGAGTTGTGACGTGATAGTTATTATAACGTCTGAACTTAGGTGATTCTGAAAATTAAAGTGTCAAACCGATTTCTGTTGTATTTAAATTCGGAGTTTTTGAACTATTTTTGCGAGCATTTTGCGAGTTGTCGTTCTTGGGTTACAGACCTCCGAATGAGGCTTACTTTATATGCATGCGAAGCCCCAGTTGTGTACTTTCATATTATGTAAACCTTACAATGAGATTTTGAAAACTAGAATTATTATGATTCTTACAAGTCAGGAGGTTTTTAGAAAAACACACTGGATTTTCGAGTACTTTGCGAGTTCAGTCTCGTGGGGCTATTCTCCTCCGATTCGCGTATAATTTATATGTATGCGAAGCCCCCGATGTCTATTTTCTTCGTAGCAAAGAAAAGTTTTGTAAATTTTTGTATTCGTATTTTTCATGATATTTTCAAGACAGGCTGTCTTCAGAAAAATCAGAGTTGCGCAGCGAAAGCCTTTTTAAATTTTACTTGCTGTTTTATTTCTCAAAGTCAGTCTTCTAAGTAAGCTTTTCTAATTGGTATAATGAAAAAGTTTTTTACTGAACAAGAAATTTTACTATTTAACAATTCGACTCTAATCCGCTTAGCAAACAACTCCCTTGGACGCGTACAGGGGAAGGTGTCACACTAATCGACTTTGATGTAGCATTTTGGAGATTGGCAAGTTATAATTCGTGTTATGTTTTGAATCATGTTGTAGCATGAATTTTTCTGTTCTTAAATCTATCAACTTTTTCGAATGTAGAGCATGATTCAGTGGGCTAAGAATGTATAGGATTATCATGATTAATTGTTAGTGATGATTGGGTCCTGCGTAGCGGAAATTTTTGGTAGCAATTTGAGTTCCTTTAGCTCCTGGTAGTTAAAGTTTTTAAAATAAGTTCTACTAGTATTAAATTTCGGACTTTTGCACTGATTTAATGAGCATTTCGCGAGTTCTGTTTCAGGAGCTACTGATCTCCAAATGCAATAAATTTTATATGCACGTAAAGCCCGAGATGTCTATTTTCAGATTATACAAACTCCATTTCCAAAGCTTGTAAGCTCGATTTTATATGATTTTTGTAAGTCAGATTGTTTTTTGAAACGTTGAATATTTAAGCTCCAAACGTTTATTTTGTATCAGTTGTTTGATTTATGGAATTTCGAATCTAACACAAGTCTTTATTACTTAACTTCAAAATGTGCTTACTTTAATTGATTACGTCAACTTTGCGTCTCTAATCGGATTTAGCAGACATCTCCCTTGGATGCATACAGGGGAGGGTGTCACACTAAATGGTATCAGAGCAGTTTTGGTTCATGGTGTTTTTATATGATTGTTGAATTGTTTGCTGTTTGAATTTGACTGTTAAATTGTTTGCTGGTTGCTGTATGATAGAATGTAGAAGTAAAATGTTGAATTGTTTGAGTTATGATAGGCATTTGTTTAATTAATTATTTAATTTATGGTAATTGGTATAATTAAAATGCTAGAATTATTCGGTGATAAGAACAGATGCATTGTTGACTTATCTGGTTAGAACTCGAGTACCTACTTGGAATCGATGTCATGTATATCTGCGGTGAGTCTGATCCGCTCATTTCGTGGTATTGTGAGTGCAGAAACATGACAGGTACACGGGGGTCTACTCAGGGAAGGACTGGTAATGCACCTGATGATATTATCACTACTGTTGGAGGGTTGGCCATTTTTGTTCAGAATATGTGTCAAGAGTGGAGGGAATATAGAAATCAAAATCCTAACCAACCCCAGATGCATGATAATGATGAGGAGATTGCTAGGCGAAGGTTGAAAGACTTCCGAAATTTTTAGCCACCTACATTTGAAGGTGGAGATAATCCAGAGATTGCAGCAAGATGGTTGCAGATGATTGAACATATCTTTGAATGTATGGGGTGTCCTGAAGCTCACAAGGTTGACTATGCCTCGTATCAGCTGATTGATGAAGCACTAACTTGGTGGACGAGTGCAAGGGCTTTACTTCGAGCACAACATGTTGATCTTACTTGGGAGGTATTCAGACGGGTCTTTCTGGACAAATATTTCCCTAAGGCTATGAGGAGAATGAAACACACGGAGCTTTTAGCACTGCGACAGGATAATATGACTGTTAATGAATATATTGCAAAGTTTGGGCAGCTGATGGAGTCTGCTAATTTTGATCGGAACATTTATGATGAAGAATGGCAGGTGGAAAAGTATGAAAGTGGACTGCATCCAGAGATCCGCAAGCTTATGTTGACTACAACAAATCGTACTCTTCCTGAATTGATTAACCAGAGTCGGCAAGCGGAAGAGATTATAAATGAAGCCAAGAATTTGTCCAAACAGCCAGTGCAATCACAAGGAGGAAGTAAAGTTGGTCGGTTCTTTAGAAAGATTACTGGAATGAATAGAGGCAAGGGTCCACAGTTGCAACCTCAGACTTGAAACTTTAAGAAGAATAATGCTCCTGGACAATCATCAGCCGGACGACAGGGTCCCAATGTTTGTGCCACTTGTGGGAAGAATCATACTGGTATATGCCGACGCGGGAATAATTTGTGTTACAGGTGTGACAACCGGGACACTTAATTTCTGATTTCCCACAGAATGCGAATCAGCCTCATACTCAAGCTCGGGTGTTCACTCTTGATGCCAATGAAGCCCAGAAATATCCGAATCTGATCCGAGGTAATGTAATCTTGAATGGTTATCCTATTTCTGTTATTTTTGATTCTGGAGCATCAGGTTCTTTTATTGCGGGGCACACTACAATGAGACTAGGTCTCACCCCGACTCCTTTACCCTATGAGTTGCAAATCAGTACTCCTACTGGAAGATCTTACACTGCATCCGAAATCTGCAGGGGTTGTATTCTACAATTTGAAGAAAGGACTTATACCGTGAATTTAGTGGTTTTACCGGTATTCAGTATTGAGGTGATTATCGGTATGGACTGGCTGGCAGAAAATGGAATAACTTTGGATTGTCAAGCAGGAAAGGTCATCGTTCCTTCTAAAGATGGTATTTAGTGCTCCTGTGCTTACTATTCCAGACTTAACCAGAAAGTTTGAAGTGTATTGTGATGCGTCTCTAAAAGGACTTGGTTGTGTGTTGATGTAAGATCATATGGTTGTAGCTTATGCCTCACGACAATTGAAGCCTCACGAGGAAAACTATCCTACTCATGATCTGGAGTTGGCAGCTATAGTGTTCGCACTAAAAATCTGGAGACATTATCTGTATGGTTCGTAATTTGATGTTTTCAGCGATCACAAGAGTCTGAAGTATTTGTTTGATCAGAAGGAACTAAACATGAGGCAACGACGGTGGATGGAATTCTTGAAAGATTATGAATTTGTACTCAAGTATCATCCAGGCAAGGCAAATGTAGTAGCTGATGCTTTGAGCCGTAAGACTCTCCATACTGCAACCCTGATGATAGAAGAACTAAAACTACTTAAAGCTTTTCGGGATCTGAACTTGTCTGTTATCAGAAGAAGGCATGGAATAAGGTTGGGCAGTATCAAAGTAGAGAACGAGTTACTCCGTAGAATAAAGAGGGCTCAAAGAGATGAGGAACTAGTCCATAAATTGGCTAGTTACCTAGATGTCGTTTGGGATGAAAATAAAATGCTGAGGTTTCAAGGTCGGTTAGTAGTGCCGAATGACAAACTGAAACAAGAAGTTTTGCAAGAAGCTCATAAGGGTTATACCGTTCATCTGGGATCCACTAAAATGTATCATGATTTAAAGACTTCGTTTTGGTGGCCGGGTATGAAACGTGTAACGCCTGGAGACTTGCAAGGATCAACGACTGTCCCCACACACTAACACAAGAATTTTCAGCGTGCTTTTTCCTCACTCGCACACTTCCCGGGAAAACTTCCCAGGAGGTCACCCATCCCAGAATTGCTCCAAGTCAAACACGCTTAACTGTGGAGTTCTTCCGATCCGGGATACCGAAAAGCAGATGCATCTTGTTAGTATAGGTAGAGTGATATCCGGATATTGCCAGAGTGATATCCGGATATTGGATACCCGGATATTGCTTGTGAGATATCTGGATACTGCATATCCGGATATGTCCCCGAGGAATATCTGGATATTCTGGGTTTACGAGGAACAGTAGCGTACTGTTCATCCAGAACTGATCTATGGGTTTGTGGACCCTAGTTTGAGGAAGTTGAACTTCTGTAATTAATTTATGTAAGTCAGAATCAAATGATCAAAGGCTTATGGCTTGGTGAGAATCCTTAAGACGTAAAACGTAATGGAAATGCGTTGTCTTAATATTGTATGCTTGCGGTGCATGTTATTGATATATTGTTGGTCCATAACAGATTGTGAATCTGCTGTGTTTGGACTTTGAGCTGTGGACTCTTGGCTTTGAGTGTTAGCTTGCAAGGTAAGCTTTTGTGTCCTCAGTTTAGCCATGTTGTGGTTCCACCATGTCCCATGGGGGTATGGTTATATGCATGTTGTGTTACATGCTTTGAGATATATGAATTGCTGTTGAGCTTTATGTGTTAATGGCTTTTAATATGCATGTGTTGTTCCATCTTGATGGTAAGCCTGAGTATGTGGCGTCATACAATATGGTGATACGGGGTGGATACAAGCGGCGTCTTGTACTTATTGTGGGGTTGTAAACGTACATCCTGCATTTCTCTGGCCAGTAGATTAGTATTGACACACATGACATGATTATCTGCTGCATTGCACTGATTTAGAACTGATGATGATAAACTGCTTTTAAACTTATATTGCACATGTAAGTGAGCTTGGGGTGGAAGATCCTTGAGGACCCCTTGCCTTACTGAGATTTCTTGTTTAGAGATCTCACCCCACGTTTGGGGAATGCTTATTTCAGGTCCAGGTAGTATGGTGACTGATGCTTCTAGCGGCAGGAGGCCAAAGCTTAGCTGATTATGATATTACTGCTTATTAGCTAGCATGACTGAGCTGGATGCTGTTTATGTTTTCCGCATTATTTTTATGATGTTGATGTTGAGACTTATGTTGGGCTTTGTTGCCTTATTTGGGTGAGCATGAGAGTTGTCCACGCCACTATGTTGTTAGTACTTTTGAGTTGAGTTGTATAAACTGATAGTTGGTCCGGTCTACGTGTTGTAGTTCCGTGACTAGAGACATACATTATTGTTGTTTTAATTAATGATGTATTTCAGTTAGCTGTTTTATTGCAATTACATACAGGCGATGTTTTATTAATTGGTTAATAAGCAAGTTGGTAATGATAATGACTTCATAATTGAAAAGTAAAAGATATTCCGCATTTTTAATTAAGCGCAACTTAATACGATAGTATGATAACATTACCGGATATATACGGGGTGTTACAAAACGTGATATTGCGAAGTATGTAGCTCGATGCCTAACATGTCAGATAGTGAAGTATGAACATCAGAAACCTTCGGGACTTCTTCAACCTCTAGAAATTCCCGAATGGAAATGGGATAGTATTGCCATGGACTTTGTAGTTGGACTTCCTTGGACGCGAGAGGGATTTGACGCCATATGGGTAATTGTTGATCGGCTGACAAAATCAGTCCATTTCCTGAGTGTCTGAACAAAGTATAATACAGAAAAGCTTGCCCAGATTTATCTTCGAGAGATTGTGAAGTTGCATGTTGTTCCCACCAGTATCGTCAGTGACCGTGATCCCAAGTTCACCTCTAAGTTCTGGGAGTCTTTCCAACGAGCTCTCGGAACCCAGTTGAGGTTGAGTACTGCTTATCATACGCAAACCGATGGCCAGACTGAACGTACTATTCAGGTTCTGGAGGATATGTTGCGAGCCTGCACTTTAGAACAAGGAGGCAGTTGGGACAAGTATCTTCCTTTGGTGGAGTTTGCCTACAATAATAGTTTTCATTCCAGCATCAGAATGGCACCGTATGAAGCTTTGTACGGGAGGAAATGCAGATCTCCTTTATGTTGGGTAGAAGTTGGTGAACGAAGTATTTTGGGGCCCAACATGATTCAAGAAACTTCAGAGCAGGTACAGAGGATCAGGGAAAATATGCAGAGGGCCCAGGCGAGGCAGAAAAGTTACTATGACAATCGTCATAAACCCCTATCTTTTGAAGTGGGAGACCACATGTTTCTGAGAACCACGCTCACATCTGGACTCGGCAGGAGAATGGGAATGAAGAAGTTGAGTCCGCGGTACTTGGGACCATACCTTATCTTGGACAGGATTGGAGAATCAGCTTACCGATTGGCGTTACCGCCTAATTTGTCGGGAATCCATAACGTCTTCCATGTGTCTCAGATAAGAAGATATATCTCTGATCCATCCCATGTACTACAACTAGAAGAAGTGGAATTAGAGAAAAATCTGACATACCCTGTTTAACCATTCCAAATTCTTGAGAGGTCAGTCAAGCAACTTCGTTCCACGGAGATACCGTTGGTGAAAGTGTTATGGAACAATAAATCTGCGTATGAAGCCACTTGGGAGCGTGAAGATGACATTCGGAATCGGTACCCAGAACTCTTTAATTAAGTACGTAAGTCTAATTTTGCGGACAAAATTCTATTTTGGTGGGAAGAATGTAACATCCCGCGTAAATTAGAAAATTCATTTTACATGTAATTAGGAATGAGCATATATTTTTCTGAATTCGAACACTAGTTAAAAAGGATAGGATTAATTTTAATTACAATGTATGTAGAAACCCTAGTTACTACCAAGTGGGTGCATGAAATAATAGTTAGTAGTATATTACATGAGATAGGTGATCCTTTAGGAAGCTAATTCTTGGACCCTATGATCCTTATGGGTGACGGCCCAAGTGCCTCTTGGAGGACTTTTAATCAGCCCAAGATCCTTCCTACTCATGACCCTTTAGCCTATCTAAAACAAAATCTGCATGTTAGCTTGTTATTGGCCAATGATCAAACCACATGTCCATCCTTATCCCTCCATCACATGCGCATTGTATAGAGAAAAAGCAAGCTAATTGCTTGCTATGGTGTCCAAAGTTTAAGTCATCGTTGCCACCCCATGCAACCAATGAGAGGAAAACAATCTGTTTTGTGTCATTTATTCAGAATCCTAGCAGCCTTCACCTTATTCCCTTCTCTCTCTATGCGCTTAAGTGTGGAACTTCAAAGCTGAATACTTATCCTCTTGAAGCAGAACCTAACTCAGCCTCTCATCCCCCTCAAAACCGTAAGCTTAAGAGGAGAGCCTCATCACCAAAGTTTACGTTCCCTTCCTCTCCTTCCTTGTTCGGCCGAGCATCAATATTCAAGGAGGTAATGTATTGCCTCTATTTCCTTATTTCCTCATGCTCTTTTCGATTTTACAAGAGTTTTTCCCCCTTTGCATGCAGCTGAAAACTTGATTCTTGGAGAGGAGGGGTGTGAGGATTCTAGCGCAAACCTTGGTGGCTACCCACTTGACCGATTGTTCTTTTCCT